TTAAAAAAAAAAAATTTTTAAGAAAAAAATTTGTTTTTTTTTTTTTTTTTACTTTTTGGCTATGGAAACAAATTTTATAACCAATTGTGAAAAAAATTATCACTTTCATTTACAATTTCCATGTAAAATAAAGTCAAACAAACGCAAAATTTGAAAAAATTTCGGGTGGAAAATTATACCAATCAAACACACTTAATTTCTAATTCCCTGAAAAACAATTTTTAGACAATTACTTTTTCTTGAAATTCATTTTTTTTCCACCTATTTTCCACCCTTGCAATCAAACGGACCCTTATTTATTTACTTACTATTTAATCTTGTATATTCGAGTTTAGTCTAATAGAAAGTTGCATAACTTTAATTTTTGTTGACAAGTCATCCCAAATTGACCAACTCAAACCAACTCGACTGATACTTGATTGGGTTGGGTTGGGTTGAATTTTGATCAAACTGATCATGTTGGATTGGGTTTGGATTGAGGTAAAAACCGACTCAACCCAACCCATGTTCACCCCTAAATGGTGGTAATAAAATAAATTATCAAAAAAATTATTAAAAATACAAATTTAAACGGGATAGTAAACAGGACAGGGATCTCGACCCGTCCAACCACGTCCTACCCCGCCCTGCCTTAAGCGGGTACCGGGCCGAGGACGAGGTGGGAAATTGCTTGGCGGGATGGGGGGAGGTTGCCCCGACCCGCCTCTTTGTCATCCCTAAGTTAAAAATAAGTTTGAAATGAATTTTACAAAATGGGGGGCTAAACATGGGATTAAATTGATCGGTTTTAACATAAACCTTCAAATATTAACATAATTGTCTCATACAAATTTAAACCAATAAATTAATACAAGATTCAACCATGAAATTTAAGATTTCAATTTTATTCTTTGAATAATATAAATATTATAATAATTATTTTCCCAAAGAGCCAATAGAAATAATTTAAAAAGTAAATTTCTTGAAGTATAAAGTGATCTAGTAAATAATATACTTATGGT